TAGATTTATTTAGCTTGGAGAAAAAGAGAGTTTGAAGAAGGCCTGAATTCATAATAAGAGGTCCTAGAAGATTTGCTGGACTTAAAATAAAGCAGCACTGATTCAGGTTAGACATGCAGCAACTGATAAGCAGTTGATCACAGGTGGGGAAGGACTGGCTTCCCTCCCACTTCATGGTCTTTCAGAACAGGGTGTACAGTGTGCTTTCCTCCTTAGACATTTGGTTAGGAGCTCTTTTGTTAAGGAGCACATGACTGAATCAAGTGATCTTATATACACTGCAGGAAGCTCCTGGTGAAGAAATGATAAGGGACTTCAGTACCTCTGAGTCCCACTATATGTCTGCACAGTTATCTGAGAATTGGAAAGGAATGGAGGAATGAATTTGGGGTCCTGGTGCACCAGCAGGCCTTTTCCCTTACCCACATCCTCCTTTCCCCTACCCATAGTCTCCCTACTCCTTTACTGGCCTAATGTGGTCTGAGGCTTCCTGAAGCCTTCGCCTAATTTCCCCAGTATTTCCACTGGTCACCAAACATCCCTTTTCTGATGAAAAGGGCATTCTGGCAGGGTAGGCAGAGCATCAGCTGCGGACAGTGTTCAGGGCCTTGCATATAGTGTTATCTCTTTAGTCATCTCATTTGGTGACCCTGGGCAGATTACTTTGCTCATCCAAACCCATTAGGGAATGCAGCAGGATTAGCTGGTTTAGAGCTGTAGTCCTACTCAAAGGTCTTTAACTTCTCCTGAAGACTTTCCTCTGGTCCTAGCTTTCAGTTCATTGCCCCCCACCCCCAATCTGAACATCTGTATCTGGGCCCAGAGTCTCTGTCTTTTGTGATCAATTATTATAAGTAGTTTGTGATCTGGGGCTAGAAATTTGTCTTTCTCTGGATCCTGTTTTTCCTTCCTCTACCCTCTAAAATAAACATTCCTCCTTTGACATTCCTTTGAAACTTTGACCTCTAATATAGACCATAATTGTTAGCATTTTTCTTTGAGAACTCCCTAGCAAACCAGGATTCTTCCCTCCCAAGTCAGCAGGAGTCAGGCTGTCTTGCTTTATCATTCTAAGGAAGGCCTCTGCAAGTCAAAAGTTAGGTTTCTACATTCTGGAGAAAGGCTGAGAAATTTAACTCTCCTACTTGCAGAAGAGGAAGGAGGCAGAGGACACCTTTCACTGCATATGAATGGTAGTCTTTCTACAAAGCTGTCAGAACAGTTAGGAATGTCACCAGAGATTCCAGGGCTTCCAGAGTCTAAGTGGTGTAAAGAACCTGTATGGGTTTATATGATAGTGGCATGAATTCAAATCCACCTCCTTGTGTTTAATTTTAGGTTGGATGCTTAACTTCTCTGAACCCCAGTTGCCTCAATAATAAGAAGGGAATAATTGTAGCTCTCTAACTGGATTGTTCCCAGGATTGAAGGATATACTATATATTAAGTACTTGACACTTAGTGTGTGCTCCAGTACTTTCTTTTCACCCTTACTGTTATAAGCAAGCCCTGGCAAGCCCTGAGGGGATTGGCAGGGGACCATAGGAGACTCTAGGAACAAGCCCCACGGTTTTCTGAGAAGTCCTTGATTCTACCCATGGCAAAGGTCAGATAGGAAGGAAGACCAGGAGGAAGACGAAGAAGAGGATGGCGGGGAGAAAAGGGGAAAGGTGGTGAGAGGGAGAGGAGCAGGGAGGAGGTGAGAGGGGCTTGGCAAGCATAAGCATATTTTTCTTTTAATCTAGACTGAGAAAATACAGACTTTTATTCTCCAGGCCATGTGAAGCAGTGCCTGGATCTGAAATATGCAAATAGGCTCATGGACAGGATTCCCTTGTTGAGTTGATTCCCTTTTTGATAGGTTTTCAAGATCTACCATAGATTGTGGCCAATCTCCCTGTCTTGGGACCTGAACCTATTGAACATAGGCTGTTTTACTGTTTTGTCACCTTAATGATAGCCAGTTTGTTAAGGATGAGCCAAAAGGCAAGGAGTGTAGGGTTGTAACTAGTGAATCTGAATAACGCTATAATGCCTTGGAATGAATCCCTGACAGGAAGGTGATGGATGTAGAGAAATCTAAATTCCTTTAGTTCCTGGCTCAGGGTCTATGTGGGAAGATTGGTTGATGTGACTGATTGCCATGAAGGTAAGATGAATGAGGATGGAAGAGACTTGGAAGAAGCGAGACTATGAGCTTTTTGGGGAAGTAGGAATCCCTAGTTGTTCTGTGAAAACCTCAGATATAAAGCCACAGAAAACAGAAGTCATGCTCTTCTTGAATGATCATGTTTGTACAGGGCAGCAGGGGTTGTTTGTTTCTGAATCTCCCTCCTCCCTGCTTCAGGATTATTTGGGAATGTTGGGGAGGCCTGGGAGGAAAATGTCAAAGCATCAGATAGGTATCTGTGTCCTTTGGATGGAGATTCAATTAGGAATGAAGGGAGAAAATCTAGTTTGTGCATTTCCCCAGCACATTGTCACAACTCAGGTTTAATGATGGACACTTTGGCCTCTGTGTGTATTGAAGGACATCAAGGCCAGATCATTTTATGATTTTTTTCCTTGGAGCCCCAGGGTAATAATTTTTTTGTTTTGGTTACCTGTTTCTTCACCATAAATTTTGTGCTTAGATAATGTCTTGCTCCCCTTTCCGCTACCAATGCACACACACTTTCTGTGTCACTAACTGCCTTTCTGTTAACTTACTTAGCACAGAGGTAGAGGAAATCTTCCCTTTCCTTGACATAGGCTGCACTTTATGGATTTCTCCTTGTCTCTGGCATTTGTGGTAGTTGTAAATGCACAATAAGAAATATTTCACCTTCTTTTTTACTTAAAAAAAAAAAAAGGAGGTTTAGGTTGGCATTTTAAAATCTTATTCATTATAAAAAATTTTTTAGTGTTTATTTATTTTTGAGAGAGAGAGAGAGTGTGTGTGAGTGGGTGGGGGGAGGAGCAGAGAGAGAGAGGGAGACACTGAACCTAAAGCAGGTTCCAGGCTCTTAGCTGTCAGCACAGAGCCCGACACGGGGCTCGAACCCACGAACGGTGAGACCATGACCTGAGCCAAAATCACATGCTCAACCAACTGAGCCACCCAGGCGACCCTCTGATTCTTTTTTTAAAAAAGTATTTTATGACAAGTATTTTAAAAATACTTATTATTTTTTAAGGGAGCACGAACTCTCAATCCTGGCATCAAGAGTTGCATGCTCTACTGAGTCAGCCAGTTGCCCCAATAACTCATTATTTTTGATAAGAAAAATATTCATTTATTGTAGACAGATGTAAAAATACAGAAAAGCCCAAAAAGGAAAACAAATCACTCTATGTTGATATTACATGATAGCAAATATTTTCATATTTTTTAACATAAATTCTGTGCACAGTATGGGGTTTGAACTCCCAGTCCCAAGATTAGGAGTCACATCCTCTACCAACTGAGCCAGCCAGGCACCCTAATATTTTCATATCTTTAAAAACAAAATTGCGTTATCTTCAACATGATGTTTTAGAATTAATTTTATTCATTTAATATATCATGTATGTCTTTCATACTTCTCGAGAACATTATATTAATGGTTGATAATTTCATTGTGGGGCCATAATTTAAGTAGTTTGCCCTACTGTTGAACATTTAAATTGTTTCCTAATTTTTTTAATGTTTATTTATTTTTGAGAGAGAGCAGAGGAGGGGCAGAGAGAGGAGGGGATAGAGGATTTGAAGTGGGCTCTGTGCTGACAGCAGAGAGCCTGATGCAGGGGTTGAATTCAGGAGTTCAGGTCATGAATACGTGAGATCATGACCTGACTTCGGTGAAGCTTAACTGCCTGAGCCAGCGGGCACCCCAATTGTTTTCTGATTTAAAACATTAAGCTGAGAATGTTTCCCCATTCTTGTTGATCAGTAATTTCACTTGTTTATTCAACAACAACAAAAAAAACACCTCCTGCAAGGTGCTTAGCCTTTGCACAGAGGAGAGACTCCCAAAGATGAGATACCAGTTATTGTGCCCCCAGAGGCTCCTCCTTCAAAGTTTGCCACTGGAAGATGTAGAAGTGCAAATGAGGAAGGTAGAATCCACAACTTTCCTAGTCTTTTGCCCAGGTTTCCCTGAGGCATACAGACACCCAGGAAGCCCAAGTTTAAAAGCTCAAACACACTTTGAATATGGTTCAAGTTGAAAGGGGTTCCTTTTTCCTCAAGTTTCTTAGGTTGCATTAATGGTAACACCTTCTTTTTTTTTTTTTTTTTATGTTTTATTTATTTTTAGGAGAGAGAGAGAGACAGCGTGAGCAGGGGAGGGACAGAGAGAGAGGGAGTCACAGACTGAAACAGGCTCCAGGCTCTGAGCTGGCAGTCAGCACAGAGCCCGACGCGGGGCTGGAACCCACGAACCGCGAGATCATGACCTAAGCGAAAGTCGGACGCTTAACCGACTAAGCCACCCAGGCGCCCCTAATGGTAACACCTTCTAAATCTAGGACTCTGGATTATTTTCCTACTGGCCAGTTCCTGATTCTCAGTTTTATTATCTCTCAAACAGTTATATCAAGATGGTTGGATATTTCCATTTTCCCCTTAGTCTTGCGTATAATTGGAATACAGAGACAGGGTTTCCCATTCCCTTTCTTATCCTAAGGTTTCCAAAGAGAAAGAAAAAGTCTCAGATGGATATATAGTCTAGCATTTATTGCAAAATGAAGTTGAGTTCCCAATCTGGGAGAATAACAAAACAGTCATTTTACAGCTCTTTGGGGGAAAAAATCCTTCTTTGGGCACATGATTGGGGCTTGGGGAGACTTTTCTAGATAAGTTGGAGTTACCTGTCCACTTACTGTGACCATTCTTTTTCCATGGCTAGAGAGATGGTTTCTGAGCTGGAAGAGTCCTCAGCTTATGTTGGGTCCTGGTCTCCCCAGGGTTTTGTGGGGAAAACTTTTTTTTTTTAAGTAAGCTCTACACCCAATGTGGGGCTGAACTCAAATCCCCAAGATCAACAGTCACATCTTCTATTGACCGAGCCAGTCAGGCACCCCAAGAACTTTATAAAAGTGCATACTCAGATGAAAAACTCAATACCCTAAGTACCTTGCATTGGGCAGATGTAAGGTCTCTGCCCAACTTGTCTATCTGCCTGAACATACAGTTGCTCTTCCTGGAGCCAGCCAGCACAGGGGAAGGTTGCACCTTCAGGATTCTGGTCAGAACTCTGATTCCCTCTGATTCTCGGCAGCACAGCTAGGTTGGATGCGATTTGAAACTTAGAGCAATAAGTACTTTGAAGGTCTTTCTGGATATGACCCCCAAACCAAACTCCTCTTTAACAAGCTGCAAAAGTGCAGGCACGAAGACCAGGAAATAACTTGCAAGAAAGATGAAAAGGAGTCTGCCCAAGTTAGAATCCCCAGGTTCCAGTTTCAACTGTGAAAAATATGCTGTATAACCTTGGGCCTCCATTTCCTGATGAATAGCAGATATGAAGAGGACTACAGACTAACCCTGTAATTTTTCCAGTTGTTTTCTAATTCACTTGCTCTGAGAAAAAACCTGTGTCTGCTTCCGTTGTCGTGCAACTGAGCAAGTGAATTTGTGTGAGGTGCTATCAAGCACTGCCTGGGGAGCTTGTGCAGTAGTACTTGTTCACCACATGCCTACACTGGTCACACCTGACTGTGCAACACCACTGGAATTTGCAGTTACAGCTGCTGATAGCCTCAGTTCTTCTCTCCTCCACCTGCAGGCCACACTCCGTGCACAAGCGCCCACAGCTGCGTTGCTCCCACCTGGATGTGTTGTGGCTCTTCTGCAGACACTCCCGACCTTCTGTGCCATAGATGCCCAGGCTGGAATTGCGGGTACAGTAATCTGGCGATTCCTCCAAAAAGATCAGCTCAGCTTCTGCACTAGGAAGGAAGGCCTCAGTGGGTGCCCAGCAGCCCTCAGCACTGTTCCCAGCTCTTAATTGACGCTTATCCATCTCGATTTTCAGGGCCCGTTCGTACTTGGCCTTCAGGTAGTCTCCCATCTCCCGGAAGTCAGCCAGCTGCAGCCAACATGTCTGGATACTGCAGCTTCCAGAGATGCCATGACATTTGCAGATCCTTTTCATGATGGCTCTCACTGCCTTCAGAAAGAGAAAGAGAATGAAAAAGAGAATGGTTGTGGGTAGGGAAGACCAAAGGCTAGTAATTAAATGGGATATTTTAGAGTTGTGATTCTTAACTTTGGAGGCCATCAGAATTACTGGGGAGGCTTGTGAAAAACACTTATTCCTGGGCCCCTCACCTCAGATCTTCTTAATTGGAATGTTCAGGGGTGTCAAGGCCTTGGTATGGGTAATTTTAAAGCTCCCTTGGGTATTCTTTGGGAAAGTCAAACAAGTGTTGAAAAGGTACTGGAATCAGGAAACCGAGGCTCTAGGGCCAACGCCATCACTTTTTGAGGTGGTTTCTCTCTTTAATTGGAATAAGAATGATCAAGAAAGTACTGTGTAAATTAAAAAGGAAAATATAATCTTTGGCACTGTTATTGTCTTGAAAGTAGGATCTGGAATGTTTGTAAGGGTTTGGATTTGCCTCTCCCAGAGGGAAGGAAGCTCACGGAGTCTGAACGCTTACCCCTGAGGCAATTACCCATGAGTGTGATTAGTTGCCTTGAAAACCTCTTCCCCTTGCCCTGGACAACTAGGTTGTCCAGATACAGGTTCAAAGGGAAAATTTTCTGCTTTTAGCACTAAATCCAACTTGCTTCCAGAATTGATTTTTTTTAAAAAAAGTTTTAACGTTTTATTTATTTCTAGGAGAGAGAGAGAGAGAGACAGCGTGAGCAGGGGAGGGTCAGAGAGAGAGGGAGTCACAGACTGAAACAGGCTCCAGGCTCTGAGCTGGCAGTCAGCACAGAGCCCGACGCGGGGCTCGAACCCAGGAACCGCGAGATCATGACCTAAGCGAAAGTCGGACGCTTAACCGACTAAGCCACCCAGGCGCCCCCAGAATTGATTTTTTTTTAATGTTTATTTCTGAGAGAGAGAGAGAGAGACACAGTGAGCAGGGGAGGGTAAGAGAGAGAGGGAGACACAGAATCTGAAACAGGCTCCAGGCTCTGAGCTGGCTGTCAGCACAGAGCCCGATGCGGGGCTTGAACCCACAAACCGTGAGATCATGACCTGAGCCGAAGTCGGACGCTTAACCGACTGAGCCACCCAGGTGCCCCCTAGAATTGAGTTCAGAGCACACTAGAAGAAGTTTTGGGGGAGAATAGACCCTCCCGAGAAGCTCCAATGGGTCCCAATCCCTTGAAGCTGAGGCGTATTTTAGGACACAGATTAGATGAAAACCCTGCATCAATTTCCTAGAACATGCAATTGAAATGGGGAAAATTTTAAGTCATGGAAGCAAGGCTTTGGTACTATATTGTTTTGTGTTCTCAGAAACCTGCCAGTGGAAGGGGCTAGACCATAATGTTTAAGGATAAGACTAAAGTAGAAGATCTGAGTTTATTGCCTGGTTCTGATGCTTATTAGTTGTATTGCCTTGGCCAAGCCACTTGGCTCAGCCTGAACTGGCTTTGTCATCCAGAGACTGGGGGTAGTCATCCCAGTCCTGATAGGTGCTGTAAGGATGACATATGGGTATAACACAGCTCTTGGTAAGCTTTACAGATGTGAGGCTATTGCCAGTACTGAACCTGACAATTCACTGGTGGACTTCTATACCTACCAGCCTGCCTGCCCTATTGTTGTGAAGATTCATCAGGGCTCTGGCATCCTTTCCCTTTTCCAGGCTGTCCACAAAGAGTTTGGAGATCCTTTCCCCAAATTCCACATTGTCGCTGCAGCCTCCCCAGATCCAGCCATGACCTCCTACACATAAGAAAAGTTAGTTCTGTACACATTTCCCTGCTCAATTTCAGAAGAGTCAAGGTCATTTTGGCTAACCATCCCCCAAGGGCTCTAGAAACATGTAAAGCTATAGCTGCAGGTGAAACAGGGAAGTGGAGGGGTTCAAGGTGAGGTGGGTGAGGTCCTGTTCCCAAAGCCAACTGCTCACCTTCAGGTACTTTCCATCACTAGGCACTTAGTTTCTATACCCACAGTAAAGGGGGCATACTGATCCTGGCCTAGAATGATTTCAGAGGTTCATTGCAGCTCAAACATTCTGGAATTCTGCACCATTATCCTACAGTAGTCTTGTTAGAGCCATCTTCTCTCTCATTAATGACAAATCTGAGTCTCTTAGTGTACAATTAACTGAGTAGCTCTGGATTATGACCAAGACATTCCCAGCCTGAAACATGAGGGTTAGCTTGAAACGCTCTTTGGCCTTCTCATTCCTAGATGTCTGGTTAGTTTAGAGTTCAGTGCTATGTGGTAATCCTGGAATCATGGACCCAGGCTCAATTCTTGGGCAACTATAGATTCAGGAGCTCCCACCAAGAAGTTGCTGCCAGTATTTAGGGGTATGAGGGAACTGTGTCCCCCTTTCCTTGGAAGACCTTAGCCTGAATGTAGCTCTGCATCCCTCACTTCTTCCCACCCACATCAGAGAGCACAACTTACCTGTTTTTCCATTTTTTGACTCATCACAGCCACAGTTTTCAAAGTCGCCCATGCTACAGTTCTTGGTGATGGTATACATGACTCCAGCAGAGCTGATGGCATGAATGAAGGAAGTCTCCCTGGTGGCTTTGGAGAGAAAGAGGGAACTGGAAACTTGGGCTCTGATGACCCCAAAAAAGCAGAGGCTTTGGAAAAGCAATGATCTTTCTCTCCCCTGTCCTCTGCCCCCTTTGGGTTAAAGAGGATGCTCTTCTACGTGAGAAAACAGTGCATGTATTTCCAGTATCCTTACTTCATTCATGCAGACATGAGCATCCCCATGTACAGATAGGGAAAGTAAAGCCCAGAGAGACAGTGATGGGACCAATGCCACTCTCCTCACCACTTCTAAAGGTTCCAAGACCCTTCTCTCCTGAAAACCAGCCTGGGCTTCTATCCATTAGCCACTGCTTATGGTCCTTGGGCAGTGACGACTCCATGAGGTGAATACAAAAATATTTCTTTTTCTTTTGTTTTTAAGTTTATTTATTTATTTTGAGAGAGAAAGAGAGAGAGAGAGAGGCGCAATGGGCAGAGAGGAGAGACAGAATCCCAAGTAGGCTCTGTACCATCATCACAGAGCCTGATGTGGGGCTTGAATTCACAAACCATGAGATCATGACCTGAGCTGAGATCAAGAGTCAGATGTCTGGGGTGCCTGAGTGACCCACTTGGTTAGGTGTCTGACTCTTGGTTTCATCTCAGGTCATGATTTCATGGTTCGTGGGTTTGAGCTCCATATGAGGCTCCATGCCAGCAATATAGAGCCTGCCTGGAACTCTCTATCACTCCTTCTCTCCCTGACCCTCCCCTGCTCACTCACTCTTTCAAAATAAATAAACTTAAAAAATTTTTTAGGGGCTCCTGGGTAGCTCAGTCAGGTAAGCGTCCTACCTCAGGTCATGATCTGGCAGTTTTTGGGTTTTCACAGGTTCCAGCCCTGTGTCAGGCTCTGTGCTGAATTTCAGAGCCTGGATCCTTCTTCAGATTCTGTGTCTCATTCTGTCTCTGCCCCACCCCCTACTTGTGCTCTCTCTCTCCCAAGAACAAGCCGCGAAAAAAAAATTTTTATTTTAAAATTACCCTTAAAATTTCCTCAGATGTTTAACTGAGCCACCCAAATGCCCCCAAAAGTATTTCTATAAAATGTAATAATGTCTCTATTTTTTAAATGCATGCCTATATTTATGTGTTTGTATACACTTACCTTGCACTGTTACATGAAATAAAAATAGGGAAAGGGCCCTGTGTTTGCAGCCCCTGAGAAATTTCCTGTCTGTCCAGCTGTCATAAAATCCCAACAACAGAGATGCTCAAAGATGAACTGTGTCTCATGTGGAGTATGCACATGTGTGTGCACATATGTGCGTGTGTGTATGCACCTGTGCAGCTGTTTGTGTGTAGTAGTTTGCATAAAAATGATTTATATAGAAACAGTAAAGAGGTGCCTGAGAAGAGGTGGGAGCAGTAAAGAAGATGATGGGGACAAAGAGAAGTATCTTCCCATAGAATATACACACAGAATGGGGAGTGTGTGGAAATGAAATGGGACAATGTTTTTTAAAGAGTTTAGTAAGATCCCAGCTGAGTAAATGATAGCCACGGTCATTATGATTATTACATGGCTCCCACTTCATGTCAGAAGGAAGTAAAGGTCCTTTTCTCTTTCCTAAGCCAGCTTCATAGTCTTCAGTGTTCCTGGTGAGCTAAATAGAGCGGGCCTTATTCACCAAATGACAAACTGGGTTAACAGAAGGGAAGTAACTCATTCAAGATTGCACAGCAAGGAGATGGCAGATCATCTGATCACACTTTTTTCATTTCACTGTGCATATATATGTCATACATACAACATATACACATACTGCAAGCCCACCTCCATGCACACATACCCCCTGTGCAGGTGCACAAACTTACCACTTCTTAACCTGTTGTGAGTGGATAGCTGGAGAGCATTTTCCGGGCAGTTCCAGCGTTCCCAAGCAAATTGGAACTTACACTCCTCAATGCCACTCTGGGCACCCAGGGCCACGCTGGTAGTGTAGGTTAGATAGGCCTGGCAAAGGGGAAAGCGCTATGAAGTTCAGCCCTGACTCAGGTAAGGTTGCCTGAGGACTGGGCTCAGGGGAGCAGGCGGGACTCAAATGGGTTAGCTTTCCATTAAGGAACAATTATGAGGTCCTCTGAGGTGGGGGGAACTTCTGTCTCCCCTCCCCTCTTCTCTTGCCCCAAAAGAGTTCCCTTAGGAACCCAGATGAGTGAAAACAGGAGCCAGAGACCATCCTACCTTAGGGCCTGTTATCAGGAAATTGTTCACTGACCTATCAAAAAGAGAAAAAGTGAGGCAAGTGGTGAATGGGGATGATATGATGGGGGTTTTTTGGTGGGGGGGGTTTGGTGGAGGGGGAGCAAGGACTTACCAGGCAGAGGCACTGAAAGTGGCATAGCATATGCCCACAGCCACCCTGAAAATAAACAGGTCCCCCATGGCCCTGCTCACCCCCAGGGGACCAGGTCCAGCCCAGGGCCAACTCCAGAGAAGTGAGGAGAGGGCAGGGTCTTTCTCAGTATTTATATGGGGAAATTCTGAAAGGCCAAGGGGGGAAAATCAACAGCTCTTCTCATTTGTCCCTCACTGGCAAGACTGCAAGAGCCACTGACCCAATGGGGGACCAGGAAGGAAGGACTCAGCCCAGAGCCTCCAAGGAAAGCCCCGCCCCCCCCCCCCCCCCCCCCCCCCCCCCCCCCCCCCCCCCCCCCCCCCCCGCGAGCCCGTCTTCCCTCTCAGGCTGACAGAGGGGCTGAAGCCTTTCCCTACCCTTGAGGTTTCTTTCCACTATAAATCAGATTTGTCTCTTCCTGCTTGATGGCTCATTTCTCAGAATCTTATAGCCTGGAGCAGATGAGGTTCCTAACCCTCAAGGTAGGTCACCAGTTCCTCAGAGTTACAGTGTCCACATCTGTCGGTGAGACCTCACTTTTTGTCCTGCTTTCTTCCCCAGTGTTAATAATTATAGAGGAACCCTATTTGGGGCCCTCTCCTACTCATTCTACCAAAGTAAGTGAACGCACCTTTCCTACCTCCTTCCTTGGTGACTGCAAAGTTCTGGAATCATGGGACCATGGAACAGATCACTTCAGAGGGCATCTCTGTAATAGGGCCTTCTACCACATTCTACCAAAGTAAGTTCTGATAAATTTCCTTCATTCCTAGAAGTTCTATCATTTTATATGTGACAGTCAACCTTTGGGCCACCAGGGCTATATTTGAAAAGATTGATGCCTTTTTTTAAAGCTTTATTTATTTTTGAGAGAAAAAGAGAGACCACAAATGGAGGTGGGACAGACAGACAGGGAGAGACAGAATCTGAAGAAGGCTCCAGGCTCTGAGCTGTCAACACAGAGCCTGACACAGGCATGAACTCAGGAACTGTGAGATCATAACCTGAGCCAAAGTCCGATGCTTAACTGACTGAGCCACCCCGCTGCCCCAAGACTGATAACGTTCTGACACCACTTAGTTGCTAGGACATCACCTCCTTAGGCAGGAATCTCTTTTATTTTATTTATTTGTTTGTTTGTTTATTTTTTAAGTACTCTCTATGCCCAACGTGGGGCTTGAACCCATGACCCTGAGATCAAGAGTTACATGTTCTACCAATCAAGCCAACCACGTACCCCTGGAATCTCTCTTCTAGATTCACTTTAGTACTTGAGAAGATGCCTGGATGAGTGAACAGATGAATGAAAGAACAAATGAAAGAATTGTGGCCACTAGTAGGGACCTGAGGCACCATTTAGGTAAGTCTGGGCACTATAGTGAGGGGGTGGAGCTCCTACTTGGTTGGTGAGGCTCTTTTCTAGGGCTGAGGAAAGCAGCCCAGACAGACACAGAGGAAACTATTAACAGGAGGACACCATGCTGACTTAGCCCCTTGTGATCATGAATATCCAGATCACATCCCAGCCCCCTGGCACCTGATTTGGGTGAGAAAGACAGCTCAGGCACTCTTCCCTGACCAAAAGAGTTCCAGGAGCCAAGGAGTGCTCAGGATTTTTTATTTTTTAGGGCAGTGCACTCAAAGTATGGGCTAGGATTGGTGTCAGTCTGTGAACTGTGAACTGTTACCTAAGTACATAAATGAAAAGTATTTAGAAATTTTTACAACAATTTGGTGTAGCAATTCTAGATATGTTGAATCTAATAATAAGAAATTTGGGCTCCTATTTTGTATATATATTTTTTCTGTTTCATTTTTCTAAGAGGATAGGTGCAAATGTCCCAAATGCAAAATGTCCATAATGGACTAAAGCTCTGCCTCTTAGCTCAGCAAGCTGTCTTCCTCTGCTTGCTTTTGGGCTTCTCTCCTTGGGGAAAAGAGGTATCTGAGACTTGAATCACTTGGGAAAAGCCCACCTAGTTTGTCTCCTACTTTCCCCAGTCAAGAATCTAATGTTTAACTTTACCTTCTTAAGACAGCAGGGTTGATTTCCATGCCACTCACTGTCGGATCAGAACATGGTTAGCCTTAGCCCTAAGGTAGTCCCCCCAACCCCCTTAAAAGAGTTTTAGGAGTGACTCCACATTCACTTCCTCTGTATGAGCACCTGGGTCTTATTATTCTATATCCCCTATAGCACCTGACATTTAAGTTGGCACTCTATAAAAATATTCTTTTGTTTTCTAGGCAACAGAGGGGAAGGTAGTGAGCTTTTTCTGTGTAAACATTGTGCATGCTTCTGCTCAGGTTCTCCAAAGTTTATATAATTTCTCTAATGGGAATTTAGGATGTTAAGGAGAGGACTTTACTCCCAGGTATTAGGAGCTTTCTGTTTGGCCACTAATTTGTGGTGTGACCTTGGGTAAGCTATTTACTACCACATGGACTCAGTTTTTTCATCTGTAAAATGAGGGAATGGGGAAAATGTTGAACAGTGAATGACTTCTATAGACTTTCACAGCTTTCTACATGCTGTAATCCTACTTTTAAGGTTTATAAAATTTATTAGTCCCAGAGGTAATTATAGGCCAGAAATGGGGAAGTCTTGTCTCCCCTAGCTGTTCACATGGAATCATCTTATTTATCTTTGAATCCTTCAGTTGGCCATCAGGATAGGTCTGTAAGATAGATACCTAGAGAACAACCAATGCTTTCTTCAGAGTGTTTTGGGGCTCTGTCTACATAAGATCCCTGTGCTGGACTGATGGAAGTCTTTCATGTGGACAGAGTGGCCCTTGGAAGGAGAGATGAACACTCCACACTGGAGTCTACCAATCATTTACAGTCACTGTGCATCCATTTCCTTAATCCCAACTCTGTTATCTCATTAATTGTTTGTTTGTTTAAGTAGCCTCCTGCCAAAGGTTGAAAGTCCCATGCTCTACCAACTAAGCCAGCCAGATGCTCCTATCTCATTAGTTTTGTTTTGTTTTTAAGTTTATTTATTTTGAGAGAGAGATAGAGAGTGCAAGAGAACACGAGAGGAGCAGAGAGAGAGGGAGAGAGAATCCCAAGCAGGCTCTGCTGCTGTCAGTACAGAGCCCAATGCCTGGCTCAAACTCACAAACCCTGAGATCATGATCTGAGCTGAAATCAAGAGCTGGTGCTTAACAGACTGAGCCATCTAGGTGCCCTTTATCTCATTAGTTAAAAAAAATTTTTTTCATGTTTATTTATTTTTGAGAGAGAGAGAGAGATAGAGGGTGAGCAGGGGAGGGGCAGATAGAGACAGAGACACAGAATCTGAAGCAGGCTCCAGCCTCCAAGCTGTTAGTACAGAGACCAACACAGGGCTCGAACTCACAGACTGCAAAGTCAGACGCTTAACCAACTGAGCCACTCATGTGCCCCTCTCTCATTAGTTTTTAAATGATGATACAACTCTTGTTTTGTTTTTTATTTTTCCAGGAAGGGAAATCTGGATCCAAAGACCAGAGGAGACATGACAGGGAGGTAGAGTGGGTTTATCACAAGATAATAGTGTCTGTGAACCAATGGCATATAGGTGTTTAAGAACCAACTTTGGTGTGACAGTAGCCATGATTGGTAGTGTTTGCTGATTCCCATGGTATAATTACTTCCACCATGGCCTATTTCAAACTACCAACATGGACTTAGAAGAAATGAACAGTATCACATCATTATATATTATTCCATCATATAGATATAATGGACATAAATAACCTGAGGAGTATAGATAATAGTAAACTATCAGAAAATAATTAGGAAAAGATTAATTTTGAGTACTTTTCATCTTTGTTTTGAATATAATTTATGTAATTTAACTTTTTAAAAGATTTTATTTTATTTAAAAAAATGTTTTAATGTTTATTTTTGAGAGACAGTGAGAGAGACATAGCATGAGTGAATGGGGGAAGGGGCAGAGAGAGAGAAAAACACAGAATTTGAAGCAGGCTCCAGGCTTTGTCAGCACAGAACGCAGTGCAGAGCTTGAACCCACAAACCATGAGATCATGACCTGAGCTGAAGTTGGATGCTTAATCTACTGAGCCACCTAGGCCCCACTTAAGTAATTTCTACACCCATTGTGGGGCTTGAACTCACATCCCCAGATTGAGAGTTGCATGCTTTACCGACTGAACCAGTCAGGTGCCCCTATGTAATTAAATTTTTTAAAAATTTTTAAACATTTATTCATTTTTGAGAAAAGATAGAGTGTGAGCGGGGGAGGGGCAGAGAGAAGGAGGCACCGAATCTGAAGCAGGCTCTAGGCTCTGAGATGTCAGCACAGAACTTGATGCGAGGCTCAAACCCACGAACTGTGAGATCTTGACCTGAGTCGAAGTCGGACACTCAACCAACTGAGTCACCCAGGCGCCCCTCTATGTAATTAAATTTTTAATAACCACTGTTTAACAACCAGTTTGCAAAATTCCTGAAAATTTACCAGTCAGCTTTCTTAGGTGGGACAAACTGTGCCCTCAGCATATCACTGGAGCCCTGTGTTCTCCCTCTAGGCTATTGGGAGATACAGTGCAAAAGGTTTTTTTAAATGTTTTATTTATTTTTGACTCAGCGGGGGGCGGGGCGGGGGAAGAGTGGAAGAGGGGCAGAGAGAGAGAGGAAGACAGAAGATTTGAAGTGGGCAATGAGCCCAATGTGGGACTTGACCTCACAAACCACTGACATCATAACCTGAGCCAAAGTTGGACACTCAACTGACTGAGCCACCCAGGTCCCCTGTGCAAAAGATTCTTATGTGGAATTTAACACCAAATATTTGTCAATTCCATTTATGCAAGGTTTTAACTGTTACTAGGGTCTAAGTCTTACTACGTGCCCTCAAGGAGCTTAGTATCTTGTAAATAGAGGCTTAGGTGTGTATATAACTATAATGTAGGGCAGAAAGTAGAATACAATGACTAAATGCCTGTACCTCTAGAAAGTTAGTCATAGAGGTAGAAAGGAGGTGGGATCAGATAATTCTG